CCCCAATTCCAGTCTGCATGTTCTCTGCTCCATTATTCTCTGATAGATCTTCCAAGAGCGCTGAGAAGTTGGTGACTGGAAGCTTCAGAAGCAGAATCCTGATCTTCCTGACTTGGAAACCAGCTCTAGCTACTCTGTGTATGCTATACTGCCCCTTTAAGCACTTAACAAATGACTTTTCATTCATTGATATTCACTCTAAATAAAAGGCAATACAAGAATTAAGGACCCAAGAGCTGTGACTGCTCAGTTGAGAGTTTTCCTGAAAAGGCTGAGTGACCTCTCTGGAGGTTTTATGTGTAGACCTCCTTTGAAGGAGTATGGAGGTGGCCATCTGCATGAGACCCCAGAGAAGATCAGTCCTTATTCTTGATTCAAGGCAGTTTGTTTTATTCCATAAATCAAAAAATAATATAAATATCTTTTTAAAGATAGTTTCTCCATCTACTCTGGGGCGGGGAAGATGGACCACAGCTTGGAGGAATCACAGATGCTGCATGGCACCATCATGGAAAGATCCCTGAATTCAGTTCTCCCTTTGTTGTTGACTACCTTTAGGTAAGACAGTGGGAACAGTACTAGGTGGCCTCTGGGGTGCCTTCCAACTAGAGAGTCCCATTTCAGCCCCACCCATGATGGATCTGCTCTGGATTTGGCAGAAGCCATAGGAGGCACCAAAGGAGGGTGGAAACAAAGTGTGGAAGCCTGTTCATTGGGAAGCTATAGCTATGAACCTGAAAATGAAGAGCTTGGATGGAACTGCCAGTAGTCAACCATGGACCAATTCTCGGGGGAAAAGAATGAAAGAATGATCATTTTTGGAGGCAGCTGGACCCAGAAAGAACAGATGATTTTAGGTTTTCCCTGGAGTGCATTAACTTTCAGTCTGAGAAAGTTAGGGTGGGTTTTCTGACAAAGGCCAAGTCAACCACTGTCCCCTCCACACATATACATATCCTGCCCCTCCAGACCTGCAAATCCCCACCCCAGGAAGTTTTCCTAAAAGGCAAAAGCAGCCTTGTGGGAACAAAGGAAGAGTCACCTGTATTTAGGGGTATGCCACTTAACATTCTACAATATGGGGACCTAATCTGTGGCATTTTCCAAATTCAAGTGTTTCTCCCTGCTCCCCTGATTGTAGCCTTTTCTTCTCTTTTCCTCTGTCACACATCTTCTATCGCAATAAACCTCTCTTCCACCAAGTATAGTGCATGGATCACAAAAAAGGGAAAAAGGCAGAGGGAAAAAATGGGGGGAGGGGGACAAAGAGGGCATCAAGAATACATTACTTATTGAAAACCACTTTAAGAGGAGGTGACAATTTCTTTCACTTCCAGTTTCTGTCTCTAGGTCTCTCTTTCTCTCTCGGTCTCTGCCTGTCTCTGTTTCTTTCTCTCCATTGCTTTCTCTGCATCTACATTCAGGCACAGGCAATCAGCAAGCATTCAATTTAAAAAAAAAACAAAACCAACATAACAGTCTTTACCTTCTCGCACGTTCCAATGACCAATATGTAAACAACTAGTTAGATACAATATTTTTTAACCCGTTTTATGATATGCATGTATATGTATATGTGTACACACATGCATATGCTTTATGTGTTTATGCATATATATGCATCATGTATATATTACGTATTTATGCATATGTATACATTACATATTTATGCATATATACACATTTGCAACACGGATTAGCTTTGGCTGGCAGCCATGGGCAGCTCAAACTTTAAGTAGATACAATATTTATACAGAATATAGGGAAGGTGATCTTAGTAGAGAAGGCACTAGCAATGCTAGTGATTAGCTACTGGGGGGACAGTAAGCAGTACAGGACCTTCCTTGCACGTAGTAAATAGACCCTTAATGAGTGTTTGGGAAATGATTACATACATGACTGAATAGGTTCCTAAAACACTTGAATAATCCACTGGAGGACGTTTCAATGTCTCGAGGTGACCATTTCATACTTTCACAATTCTGTCCCCGCAGGGACAATCTAGGAGAAGCAAGTTTGCCTGGGGTAAACTTTTCCCTATAAATTAACATGTAAATACTTTGCTAATTGCCCTAATTATACCCTGGTGGTTCAGAACTTACTGCCCTTCCACCCGTGCCAGGTGGAACCAAATTTCAAACTTCTGCTATGTCACAGGGATTTTGATGGAGATGGGAAATAGAGAACAGGAAAAATATGCTGGCCTAGACTGTGGGGAGCTGGTTTAGCCAAAGGCTTGTTGCTTACACCATCATCTATAATGCCTGGGTGGCCCTGTAATATGGGGTGGGGGAGGAGGGAGGAAAGGAATTAGCGTTTATTAGTCACCTCCTATATGTCAGGCACTGAGCTTAAATGCTTTACAGATATTTATCTTATTTAATCCTCACAACTACCACTTGAGGCAGGTGCTATTATTATCTCCATTTTACAGATAAGGAAACTGAGGCTAACAGAGGCTAAGTGACTTGCCCAGGGTTACATAGCTAGTAAGTGTCTGAGCCTGGATTTGAACTTAGGTTTTCCTGACTCCAGGCCTGGCACCTTATTCTCTGAACCACCAATCCCCTTTTCCAAAGTCCCACCAAGTAAGTTTGTGGACAGCTGGGCACAGCGAGTGACCTGAGCTAAAAATGAGAACAGTAAATGTAGTCCTGGATTAGGAAAGAGATGTGAATTTCTTCACACTCTCTGGATATAGAACAAGGGGTGAACAACCTTTACATTCCTCCACATAAGGATTAGAAAGATCCTCAAAGCTAGAATTTCCTCAGATTCCCCTTTGCCATAGGAGGAAGAGAGACACATCAGAGGGGAAAACGAGATAGGGTTCTTAACATTCTCTTGACTAAATAAATTATAAATAAACAAAAACACCACTCATCTCATCTAGTCTTCAGCCTCTTCTGATTGATCTTTATCCATGCCATATCCACTAACTGGATATTCCTTTAAGGTTCAGTTCTGGGTCTTCTCTTTAATGTCTATAACTCACTCATTTGTCGGTCTCATTGGCTGTCATGGGTTCAGTTATCATCCCTATACAGCAGACACTCTGATTTATATATCCAGCCCTAGACTTTCTCCTGAGAACTAGGCCTGAATTATGAACTGACTGTTGGACATTTCCAACTGAATGCCCACTAAGCATCTCAAATTCAATATGCCTAAACAAAAATTAATTATCTTTCCCTCCAAACTCACCTCTCTTCTAAACTTCGCTATTACTATTGAGAACTACTATCTTTCCACTCATCCAAGTTGCTATCCCTACCCCCACCACTCCCTTTTCAGTTTTCCTTTATATATCATCTTCATCCATTAGACTGTAGGATCTTTGAGGGCAAGGACTATTTTGCTTGTTTGTATCTGTGTTGCCAGTGCCTTTCACATAGTTAAGTCCTTAACAATCTCTCTCACCCAACCATCCAATATATACCTTTTTGCCAAATCTTATTGCTTTCTATCCAGGCAGCTAGGTGACACAGTGGATAAAGTAGCTTGGAATCAGGAAGATCATCTTTATGAGTTCAAACACTTACTATATGTGTGACCCTGAGCAAGTCACTTAACTCTGTTTGCCTTAGTTCCTCATCTGTAAAATGAGCTGGAGAAGGAAACAGCAAACCACTTCAGTTATCTTTGCCAAGAAAATTCCAAATAGGGTCATAAAGAGTCAGACATAATTGAACGACATTGCTTCTATCCATATCTTTCTTTTTTCTTTTGGTGAGGCAATTGGGGTTAAATGACTTGCCCAGAGTCACACAGCTAGTGAGTGTTATGTGTCTTGGGTCACATTTGAACTCAGGTCCTTCTGACTCCAGGACCCAAGCTCTATCCACTGCGCCACCTAGCGGCCTCTTCTATCCATCTCTCATAAACATTCTATTTTCTCCACTCATAACCATCACTGAAGTTCAGTCTCTCATGATCACTTTTCCCCTGCGCTATTGCTTCCTCATTGTTCTACCTGTCTCAGGTGTCTTACCATTCTAATCTAATCGGCTGCCTACGTGATTGTCCTAAAAGGCAGGTCTCCCCATGTCATCTCTCTGCCTAATAAACATCAGTGACTCCTTATTACTCATAAGGTATACAAACACGAAGTTCTGTTTGGCATTTAAAGATCTTCACAACCTGGTCTCTCTCTAACCCGTCTTCTTTTCCGTTTCTTCCACATTACTCCCCTCTAAGTACTTTATGGTCTTGCCATATAGGCCTCCTTGTCCTTCATACAGGTTGCCTTCTCTTACATTTCTGCGCTTATGCCTGCCCCTCATGCCTGGAATTCTCTCTCTCTCCTCACCACACCTCTGCCTCTTAGAATCCCAGGTTTCCTTCAAAACTTGGCGTTAAAATCACCTTCCGCAAGAGGCTATTTCTGATCTCCCCCGTCCTCCAGCTGTCTGTGCCTTCCCCTCTGGAGTCACCTTGTATCTACTCCGTCCTTTTCTCGTATATACCCAGGTACATGGTGACTTCCCTAGTAGGATGTAAGCTTCTTGAAGGCTGGGGCTGTTTCTACCTTTCTTGGTATCCCTAGCGCTTAGCACAGTGCCTGGCATGTAGGAAAACTTAATAATTGTTTGCTAATTGATTGAAATAGGCGAAGGGTTTGCTGGGGGAGTTTGTCTGATAACTCAAACCAGCCCCCCAACTCTAGTCTAAATAAACCAGCTCTACTCAGTTCCCCATCTCTGGCAGCAGCAGCAACAGCCTATTGTAAATCGTCCTGGTGCCTATCCTGGTCCGAGTTCCCTGTCCCTTCTCTTCTGTTGCTTTCAGCTCCCCAACCCCACCCCCTACCCTTCGAATCGCTCTTCTTATTGGCTGTCGCCATCTCCCCCTGACCTCCTATTGGGTGTTGGACCCTTTTCTCCTCCCCGCGCGGCGGACCCAAGGCTAGGGGACTGGGGCTGGAAGGGAGGGGAGGGGGTACGGAGTCCTGCCCGGGCTCAGCTTCGAGAGTCGGAGCTGTGCCGCCTTAAGGTTTGCAGTGGAAGGAAAGGGCGTCTCTGACCTGGGCGCGCTGGGCTCTCCCAGCCGCCCAGCCCTCCCAGTGTCCCAGGGAGAAGCCGGCGAGACCCCCGGCAGGGCAGCTCTGGAGCAGCCGCCAGTATCACAGAGGCTGGAGCAGAGGAAGAGTGGGCTGCCCTGCCCGCTTAAGCCCCAGACCCAGAGGGAGCTGGACTTGTTGGGGGAAACTCTCCCGGGTCTGGCCGATGGCACCGTGAGGATGGAGAGCAAAGATATGGACAGCTATCTGCGGCGTCTCAAGCAGGAGCTGGTGAGCTCAGGAGCGGGCTGGGACCCAGGTGGTGGTATTGGTGGTGGTGGGTGAGGAGCTACCCCATCCCCAGCGGCAGCCGCCCAGTCTCTCTTACCTGGGCGTGGGGGAGGATGGATGGAGTGTCAGGAGGGTGAGGTGGGGAAAGAGAGGCAGAGAAATGAAGGTCCAGGGTAGCGGGCCGGGGACCACGCGGAAACTTCGAGGAGAGTTTAGCGAAACGGACAGGCAGAGCTATAGACTCAGCCACAGGCGGAAACAGACCGCGAAAGGCTGACACGTGAAACTACCGACGGATGCAGGCAGGGAAAGCCCATGAAACCACTGACGGACACACAGTCCCAGAGGATGCGGCGACCGGGCGAAAGGCGGCTGACACTGAAGCCACTGACGGACACAGCCTCAGACAAACGGACGGACGGACAGACAGACAGACCCAGAGACTGACGCGCCCACGGAGAGACAGAGACTGAGCCCTAGACCAACCCAAGGAGCTAGACAGCCGGGGCGCAGAGAACGAGAGCGTGCCAAAGGGCTCTCGAGGGTCCACGGCCTTGAGGCCCGAGCCTAACGGGGCCCAGCCGGGGTGGGGCCAAGGCCGGGGAGAGCAGGGCCCACGCTTTCGGGAGGACCGTCGGGCTCTGGGACGGGAGGGAAGCCGGCACCGCCTGGGGCTCCTATCTCTCTGCTGGAGCTTGGCAGGCTGGGCGGGGTGGGGGGTGGGGAGGGGCGGTGCGGGGGCAGGACCAGCCGGCTGTCTGCCCGGACTTGTCTGCCAGCCCGGAGGGGGGCTGGGGGCTGGCAGCTGTAATGACGGTGATGGGGCCTGGGCACACGGAGGAGGGGAGTTGCCAGGATGAGCGGGAGCTGCGGAGGCAGAGCCAGATGCTAGGTCTCTGCTTTAGGAAGAGGGAGAATTGGAATGGGGGTGCGAGGCGGGAGGGGAGGGGAGTGCAGGAGAAGGAAACTTATGTAGGGGCAGGTAGCTCTAGGGGAAAATGGGTGGAGAAAGGGATCTGCTTGTGGTAGTGAGCCCTATTGGGTAGCACTTAATCTTGTGAAGGCTCAGACTACATAACATATAAGGTATGGCTTGGAAGTCGAATTTCTCGGTGACTCCAAATATTTACCCTCCCAACCACACAATGTTTCTAGTTCACTTCCGTTCAATTCAGTCAAAGAATCTGGGTTCAAATCAGCTTTATCATTTCACCTGTGTAATTTTAGACAAGTCACTTTCCTTCTTTGGGATTCAGTTTCTACCTTTGTAAAAACAAGGTAGTTGTATTAAACCAGCTTTAATGTCCCTTCTAGCTTTAACATTCTTTGATCCTATGAATTCAATTCAATCCCTCCACCATTTAGATGGAATCTTCTGCATTCTCGCACAATCTCTGTAAAGTCAATCTGGAGATGGTTTAGTCGTGCAAGTAGGGAATCTTCCTTCTTTAATCTATCAATCAATCCTCAAGAATTTATTGAATGCCTACTGTATGCCAGGCACTGTGCTATTAGGCACTGGAGAGAAAGACAAAATTGAAACCATCCCAGCCCTCAAGAAGCTTACATTCTGTAGGGGGATACAGAGAGAGAGAATAAAAGAAATAAAAATATATAAAATACCTCAACCCCATATTATCCTGCCTCACCCTTTTAGATCAGAAGAAACTAATGTCCAGAGAAAGGTAACCTGGAAGGCAGGAAGAAAGCCCAAGAATGTCCAATGACTAGCCTAGCTCTATCTGTGTGATAGAATGACTGCCTTGCCTTTCTGCCCTGTAGTTGCCAATGATATTGGGCAATGCCTTCATAAGATCACCTCCAAAACTCTTCTTTGTCCTGGTTGAGTTGAGGTTCAGAGAAGTGATTTGACAGCCATGCTTAAGAGAGCATCGTTGGGGTGGGGCTAGGGCTGGAGGTGGAGCCTAGCAACAATGGAATCACCACAGGTATTTTTGGAAAAAATCCCATTTTTTTTTTAGGTCATTGGGTCCCAGGTGTCAGCTCCTCCTGTGCAGATCAGCTGTCTATTTTCAGGAGATTGCTGGGGATTGAAGTGAGAGGGGCAGGAATATGACCCTGGGTTCCAGTCCCTTTGGGGAGCCCAGGCTGTGGTGACACTCATCACCTGGGCATTTGACAGACACTGACCATAACATATAATTCTTCATTTTGAATGGGAAAGAGGGTTTTCACCTTACCTAATTCCACACTCCTAACTCCCCCCCCACCCAAAAAACTCTTTCTTTGCAGAGGTATTCAGCAGACAGCTAGGAAATTACTGGTCCTTATCTGGGGGTAGGGGAATTGTCAGATCATTACGGTTACCCACTCCCAACGCCCAGGACTCTGACTTCTACCCATGTGTTTCTCCATGTCCAAGAAGGTCACAGTTGCTGTTGAGAATGACCCCTCACTCTGGATCAGGGCTGGGGAGCAAACCCTAGGCTCAAAAGATCAAATCTAGTCCACGTTCCTTTGTGCTTGGAGTAGGGGGACAGGTCCCCCTCCACCGCACCCCATGTTCCAAGTTAATAGAAGGGTGGGTGTTTCTGGCGCAGGCTAGAATTTTAATAACCCTCTGATTTGCATTTTGCACAACAACTGAGGGTGGGGGAGCGGAGGTTGGGGGGGTGTATGTGTGTGGAAGATGCCAGAAGAATAAAGAAAGCAAACAGGAACTAGCACCCCAGCTCCAGATCTGAATACATTCCCTCAATCGACACCCCCATTGGGAACACGAGGCCAAAGAAGGAGGAGGGGGAGGAGGAAAGGACGGGGCATGAGGAAGGCAGGGAGATGGAAGCAATGAAGCCAAAGTCATCCAGCTCCCTCATTAGCTTTTATTTGGCCCTTTGTCTGCACTGTTTCAGTCTTTGACTCTTTTGGAGAGGAAGCCTAACGCCTGGCCCAGGGCCCAGACTGATGCTCAGACAGGAGAGAAGCTATCCCTGCCTCACCTTCCCACCTCCCTACCCCCTATCCCCTTCTCCAGACCAGCTTATCAGTTCTCAGGCTCAGAATGGGCAGCTCCTTCCCAGACTAAGCAGAGTGAGCTGGGAGTTTCCTGCTTCTTCCCCGCCTCTCCTGAGCCTGACCTTCAGGGTAGCCCTGGGCCCTAGCGACCACTCCCCCACATGGCAGGTGGGGGCTGCAGAGGAGGTAATTTCTCTGGCTGCATCTTTCTCAGGCTAAGGCAGTTGGGACTGGAGCCAGATGCAGCTCTTGGCTACCAGTGACTGGTCTGGGCAGGTGTTTTGCTTGGTCCTACACCAAACTGAGAAGCAGCCAGAGGAAGTGAATATGGTCAACCCTCATTTATCTGCTCTGTGGATGCCACATGCCAAATGTTTCCTCCTCCCCCTCCCCTTCCCTCTTGCCACTGAGGGCCACTGTGGTCCATCCTTAGCTGATGTGTGCACAGGGAATGCAGTTCATTCCCAGGAGGGGAAATGTCCTGTACAAAGGGAAATGTCTTGTGCCTTCTAGAGAAATGGATCTGGTGATTACCTGTTGCTTGGATTATCTGTACCACTTCAACTCTCCCCTACCCCCACCCCCAACTTTTCATTCACTCATGAGTACATGTATTAATTCATTCACCAAACACTGATTGAGTAATCTATTACAGAACACTGGGCTAGTCTCTATGGGTAATTCAAAGTTGAAATAAGACACAGGCCTTTCTCCTTCAAGCTTACAATCCAGTAAGAAAAAAGATATAGCTAGAACACATAGAACACATAACATAGAAGTACAAGCCAGAGGTACAAAACACAGTCCTGAGTCCTAGGGGAAACAGCTCATGATGTAGTGATTAGTAGACTAGAGTCAAAAGACTTGACTTTGAATCCAGCCTCTGTATTCCTATACCTTTCACAAGTCACTTTTCTCCAGAACTCAGTTTCCGCATCTGGACTATATGGTCTGTAAGGTGTCTTCCAGTTCTAGAGCTACAACCCAATGAGCTCATGCTTCTGTGGATCTTTCAAGTTAACACAGTGCTTCTCCCTACAACAACCTAGAGAGGGAGGTAGTGCATTTATTATACTTGGGTGACTAAGCTTAGTGGTGTCAAATGTGTTGTTGGGGGCCAACAACACTCTGGAGTGTGGCCTGAACCAGATTAATATTAATATATAATATATTATATAATAGGAAATATTCAATAAAATAAACATAAATATAATAAAACATAGATGTTAATAGGTAGTCAATATGCAGCACACAAGGAATTTTCCCAGCATTTCAGTCATATCTGACTCTTCACGATCCCCACACTGGAGTGGTTTGCCATTTCCTTCTCCAACTCATTTTACTGATGAGGAAACTGAGTTAACAGGGCTGAGTAACTTGCCCAGGATCACACAGCTAGTAAATGTCTAAGGCCAGATTTGAACTCGAGTCTTCCTGACTCCATACCTACAGCTCTATCCACTGTGCTACCCAGGGGGTGGGGATGGGGTGAAGGGGAGTCTTTGGGTACTGTTTAATATCCCTGTTTCTATTTGAGTTTGATAACCACTGATCTAAGTAGTCATCTTCCGTTACTATGGGTCCTTACTGCAGTGGAGTCAATTCCAACCTGTCTATGCCCTCTCATTCTGTAACAGATATTATTTATTTCCGTTTTATAATTAAGGATGTTGAATTACAGAGAGGGAAATTAACTTTCTCATAGTTACAACTAGTATTGTAATCAAAGCTGGGATTTGAACCCAAATCTCCTAACTCCAGGTCCAGTGCATTTTCCATGACCTTTCTAGCCCACCATTTTTTCAGCAGAGATAATCAAGAAACATTTGCTCCCGAAGGTTAAAGTTGTAGAATTTCCCATCCCTCTGCCCCAGTCATCCATCACAACTGGAAATATACACTGTCATGGAGGAATGCATTTTCCCACAAATGAGGTCAACTGGGGATGCTGGGACATGGCTGTGTGGCGGTCCAAGGCAGGGTAGAGAGGGGAGTGGGGAAGTGTCCTGGCCTAGCCATAGAAG